ATATAAGCTGAGAACTTATACTTTAGTATGTCTCTTTATGTTTGTTTGTGTTAGCGTCTGTGCCTTGGTAACTCAGAGTACGCGATATCGGCTATAGACACAAAGCCTAGCATCAGGCTCTGGTCATCACACACATACATACTGAAGTATATGTATCTAGATTGTTATAAAAGAGGACCAGTCAAATCATTCTATCTGTGTTTTTATCTACATAGTTTCGTTTTTAGTCATGATTATAGATATAAACTGTAGGATAGAGCCGCATACTCTTGTTGAGTTAGTGTTAGCTTGAAGCACCTGCAAGCATGATTTCTAACTCTGACGATGTCTGTCAAATGGCATGACGGACGAAAGTTGAGTCCGTTTTGACTCGAAATGAGGCAGAATGCATCGTGGACTGCGTGAACCTGAACGTCGTATTAAAGCCGAACGGTTGCGGAGCAAATGGAATCAGCAGTTGCCTTCTGGTGAGATCGACCTACGAAACTCTAAAACGTCCCCATCCATATCTCCCCAACCCCTCGGCCTTTTATACATAAGCACTCACAAACTTGAAGCCACATATACAGAAAAATGATGAGAGAGAATACGCATCTTTTTTGGTGGATGAAGGTAAAGTTTTAAGCGAAGATATGAGGACCAAGATGGTGTGGCCCCCGAAATGATCGCAAAGTGCGTTCTACTGAGTCACCTTGACAATAAGACCAAGTTGTGACAACGAGGTCAACCCACTTTTGTAAAGTTTTAAGGTTGTCAAATTGTTCTTTATTTCTGACTATCCTTAAATTGTCTTTAAACTGAACTTTGCTCAATTCGATTTAACTCAATAAACCTTCCCAGGTAACATCGGGAGGAAGACCTTGAAGAACTCAGCTTGTCCGAAGCCCATAGTATGTATGATAATTTCCAGAGTCGGACCGTAAACTTGGTACCTTTTCAGACTTCTCGCCGGCATCGTAGTCGACATCGTAGTTGGTATCGTCAATGCGCCTTGCCAGTCTCAGCAACCAAGCTACAACTCGTCAAAGAGACAAGCGAAGTCGGTCCTTTGAACAAATTTGTTCTAACGGTTGTGGCATCTCTCCTTCTGTCATGATCTATTCACCTATCCTATATCCTCTTATCACCCCTTCAATATCACAATGTCTTACTTGTCCATCTAGACCCATTTGAAATATATTCACACTCCCCGCTGGTTTCCCCATCCCTCCCACTCTGCCAAGAGTGCTGATTCAAGTCTGCCGATTAATCCGCAATTCTCTCCCTTCTGGTACTGTCAGAGTCTCCAGCTTGCGCCCTAGGAACCTTCTCTTATCCGCTTGTTTCAGTGATTTCGCTCCATCGGTGCCAGCGGATCCGTGCTACTCAAGGCGTTGTTCTACGATCTGTCTCAAGCCTTTGATAGCACGTATACATCAGCCTCACTGAGCAAGCTCTTGAAGTCTGGATTCTCATTTGGCATAGCAACCTAGTTTGATGTCGCAGATTCCCTTATCGCTGTGCGTCATGTGCAACGAGTGAATCTCGTGGTCAAGCCCTTACTTCATGGACCACGTCTATGAGCAAACTTATCTACTAATAGCCAACTCCAAATGGTTACTACCGTTTCTCTCGATCCTCTATGACTTCCCGATTGCGTGCCAAACACCAAATACGATGGTTCTACGATAGGGATAAGGTAATTAACCTATCCTCAATCCCTCTTGATTCCGAAACGGTAGATCTCCTGAAGAAAGGGTTAAATTATTCAATCGGTAACGAAGTAAACATTTAAGAAAATATCCTTGTAGAAGTTGTCAACATCTCAGAGAAATTCTCTGAAGAGACCAAACGGGAGATTGAGATGGAGTTAATCTCGATAATTCTGTCCCATCAAGAGCCAACGAAAAGGAGCGGGTTGAAGAAGATACGTAGAAAATTACAAATGAATGACAAATTAGTTCTTCAAGCGGATAAGGGAGTTGCGAACGTGATAATGTACAGGCAACAATATACGGAGAAAATGGACAGCAGCCTAGGGGACCGGAACACCTATCAAATAGTAAGAAAGGATCCAGCAATGAAGATCAACTGGACACTGAAGAATATGCTAAAGGAAATGCATGATACTGGGCTCGCTGACGATGCCGACTACAAAACGTCTGGGAATGTACCATGTTTACGGTCCGACTCTGGAGATTATCATGCATACTATGAACTCCGGAACAGGTGCGTTCCTCTAAGTCCTTCTGCCAATATGACCAAGTTGCGAAACCAAGGTAAATAAACTTCTATACAACGAAAGACCGCGACCATACGAAAGGCCACACTTTCCTGGTCTTCATATCTTCGACTTTCCAGGTAACCTTATCCCCCCTAGTGCAATGAATTGAGGCCAACTGGAGTACTCTGGGATAAGATCAAGTTGGACCTCCTTTTGCTCAGAACGACTGGATAAATAATGATATTTTATTGTTGAGAAGACCTTCATTTCGTGTCAAAGGGATTTAAGAAGAGATTCAATTGTTCTTCTCACCAAAAGACGACGGTTGAATCCCGTTGTACTGCAGCCGTTTGGTTTTAATACGACGTTCAGTTTGATGCAGTCCACGAGACCTCCTTGATTTCGGGTGAAAATGGGCTAAGCTTTCGTCCATCAAATGATGGACATCATCAGGGCCGGATCTCATTCTTGTAAAAGTCTCACACTAACAATAGGGCAACAAGAGTATTCGGCTCTCTCTTAACTCTTATATAGTCTCAATTAAGCCGAAAGAAAATCAAAAACCTAGATAGATAGATAGATAGATAGATAGATAGATAGATAGATAGATAGATAGATAGATA